TTACTTAGTAAAAGTCAATGAAATGAAAGTTCGCTTTGAAATTGTATAGAAGTTCTAAATAACATAAAAGGTAATGCTTTATAAAACCGAATCAAGCCAAATTTCCATTACATATGTCTTAAACGATATGGAATATTCTTACACTGTTTTGGAAGTTTTTTTTTGGAGTCGTAACTTAAGTTGAAAAAAAACCAAGAATAATAGGGTAAGTTAAGTTTGGAACAATAGAAAAGCGCAGGATAAGTAAAGCTAGGTTTATAACATGTAATAAAACACCAAAAGCAAACTGGAAAGGTTAGGTTTGGAACATTTTTAATACCATAAAAAAACATCGACAAAGCGAAAATATTTTCTGTTATAACATGTGATTTTATAAAAATTGTGAGTGTCAGCATACCTGTTACAAAACTGAAAACATATGAAACAATTTTAATATCTTAATGAAATAAATTAAGACCCCGAAAAAAAAATCTTCATAGCAATATATTCATCTTCAGCAATCTTCATAGCAATAATACTCATGATGATCATTTCCTAAAGTTTAAAATTGATTTTATGAAAACTTGGTTTGATTCGCTGTTGTAAAGTTGTTCCAAATAAAATTATTATTCAAATGTTAAAAGACTTTGTTTATTGTTGTGTTTGGGTTGGACTTTTAAATGGGAGTGTGACTCACTTTCCAATGACAAATTGACCGAAATTTATTATTAAAAAGTACACATCTTTAGGTTTGTTTATAATAAAATTATGAATAACATCAACAATATGTGATTTAATAAAAATAAAGATATCTGTAATAGTTTATTTTTCTATTTAAACTAAGTTACCAGCAGTTACTTCCAACCTCTGAAGTTTTTGTAACTTATTAAATTATAAGAATAAGCTTTACAGTTATAATTAACTACAAAGGAAGAACATTGTATGAACAACTTATCAATTTTTAATACTTTCTGTTTTTAGGTGTGAAACAAGTAAAAAGCAGTAGAAAACATAATCTATGGATTCACAGAAATAGAATTTGAACAAAGATAAAATTTTACATTCTATTCATATTTAAAAGAACTAAATGTTGAACTATAACTTATGACCTTTTGCTTATTGCTGAAAAGTAAATTAACAACAAAAATTGATGAAAATAACATAAAAGTAAGTACAAGACATATGCCAAATTCTACATGGTAAGTGGTAAATATTAAGTATTAATAATAATTCCCAAAGCACATATTTCCAGCAATTATTTGAACAATTTTAACCTTTTAAATTGGCTTGATATTTAGTATAATATGGTTTGCTCGAAACATGAAAAAGATTCAATAATAAAATTAACTTAAACATTATTTAGGTTGTGTGTAGAATATCTCTCTATTATTGTTTCAAATATTGTAGATTAAACTGTAAATTGGTCATGTCATGACAAGTTTTTCAAACTAATTTGATTTATGATTCTATCATAGACATTTCACAAAAATGGGCAGGCAATAAAAGTTACAAAAAATCTGTACCTGTAAAAACTAATCATCATTTTTACATGGTTTGTGAGTTCCATCATTGTAGAGAATTAAATTTCAAAGAGGTTTTGTAAGTAAATGGGGAGAAATATATATAATCAAAGAAAACCAGTTTTTTTTTAATAAGGTATGTAATTAGGTGAAAAGCAATAATTAAATTGATTATGTTGTAGACTTGAATCAATTAATTACCATTTCATACTGTTGCAGATGAATGATTGCACCTCTTCAAGTTATACAGAATTATTAAATGAAGGAATCTGCTTCAGAATTGCTGACTGCATGTCGCTGCAACATCTGTGCTACAAAGTTTGACTGTTTAAAATATTGTAATTCTAAACTAAATTTTGAAAAATAACTTATTATATGGAGTAGTTTAACCGCAAATCTAAAAAAGAGTCACCATGTTGCAGGAAATGCACTAGCATAATAACTATATTAATGTCAATATTGATATATAGATGTGTAACCTATACATTATTTATATTATAATTTAGTGTTTTATATTAGTTTGATGTTAATATTATGACAATTTTTAGAAATATGTATTAGACTTTAATATAAAATATACACTAACATAATAAGATTTTCTCGAAATTGGGAAATGCAGTGTATAGAAAATAAAAATATACTAAAATATAGGGAATTAAGTATCAAGTACAAAAGATAAAAAAAATACCAATTAGTGAAAAATATGAAACAAAATTAATTTATTAAATTTGGATTTTACAAATATCACAACTTATTATATATCTTAAACTTTTTTTGAACTAAGTAATAAAAAATAAACAGAGATTGTATACAATTTTCTTACAAGTAATTTAAATTTCAACACAGGTACTTTTCCCCAAAATGATGCCTCCTAAGCTCATTATTTTTCCTCGTTAAGGAATCTATAGGTTACACATCTATGGAGAATAGTAATAACAAAAGAGTTAAAATGCGGAATCTTTAGGTTCACTATAATTTTATGAATTTATTTGAGAAGTAAAACTTAAATATTGTACTCTATTTTTACAGTACATAATATTTAACATGACTTGTACATTTGCAATGTTTTGATAGGAAAAGTTTGGATTAGGGGACTATTTGAAGCGTCGGCAGTGCAGTTGGCGCTTGACCGGATCATATTTTACATATCCAGGTACGATCTCCGCTATATAGTAATGAGTTCTTCGAATTTCATGATAACATCCATCAGACATTCTTACTGTAATTACAAATTGCATACAACTGCATAGAAATTCAAAGATATGTGCGAAGTCAACCAACCTTCACTGGCTCTGCATTGTTGAATAAGACCTAGTCGCATTCTTGAGGGTAGGCTCCGAGCTCCTCAGTGGAGTATAGTGTGTCCGTATAGTGAGCTTGATGATGACGATTTGTTTTGCTTCAATGCATATTGTCTTGTTAGCAATTTTCTAAATATTTTACCAACAGAGAGGAGCTAATCTCTTTCCAGTGTTATTCTATTTCTCAAGACAAGAGTGGCACTACTACTCCAGTTCTATCAGAAAATATGATCTATCAAATAAACAAACTGGAACAAATAAGCATTTATCAAAGTTGGGGTATTTTGTTGGTGAACTAAACAATAATGGTATTATTACGAAAGCAATGAGCATTATGTTGCCTTCTTAAAATATGTTCGCTTTAGTCAGAAGATTAAATAAAGTTGCAATTAACGAAATTGTTTTATTTTTCCAAAATTGTTTTCCCTCGAATAATACTTTCAAACGTCAAAACGGAAATTGACAGATTGATTTTTTTTAGGTTGGTAGCAACGTAGACTTGTTCATAATATTGCTAGCATTGAAAATGTCAATTTTTATTCTCCGTTTGTGTATCTAATTAGTCAAGAGTCCCGTCTCTTATTTTATATACTTTGCATCTCACATAAACTGACCATAGAAAAATATATTTGTAATCTTCAGACAAAATCATAAAATGCGCCACAGAGCAATAAAAACAACCGTAAAGTTAAGGATAAGCACGAGTCAAATAAAGCACAAACTCTTTATAAACTTTAATTAAATACCGTAAATTAAATAATTGTCCGTAACTGGTTATAGCCGATAAATTTTTTTTATTTATTTTGTTTCTTTAAAGTTTAATATTAAACATTTCTTAACTTAATTTAGAGCAATAAAATCGCCATACTTTTTAAATGAAAATGTAATGAAGAATTTTGTTGCCGAAAAGTGTTATCTCATCAAGATTACAATGTCTTTATCTTGGTCTCTTCTCTTATTGAGTTACCAAAACGCTGGAAATCAAATAAGAACAACATTCCACGTGTCATAGCCTATCCATTTACTTCATGTCAGTGTTCAGTTATAATTCGCAAGGTTTTATAATCTATGCTGACTGTGACACGAAATTACAAATCGTTTAGCTTTTTTTACACGTTTGTGTTCGAATCGAAGTTCCATTCCATGTCTTGCACTTTCTATTTGTAGATAAAAACGAAAATAGCATCAATGGCATGCCGGTTACTAAAGCGGGTGAAGTACGATATATGAGTGAACAAATAGTTGATAAAGTGTTATTTATAAAAGTTAATAAGTATTGAACATAAAACGATGACGCGAATGTTAATATTAGGTATTATTTACCTATTTTTATTAAACAGAGCTACTGGTTTAGGTGAAATAATCTACGCTATAAATGCCGGTGGACCAGCCCATACTGATATTCACGGTATATATTACGAAAAAGATCCATTACAAGGAAGAGTCGGCACTGCTTCTGATTATGGAAAACAGCTCGTTATGATCCGTCGAGTTAATCCAAAAGATGAAATCCTATACCAAACTGAAAGGTATCATCATAGTACATTCGGGTATGATATACCTGCAAAGGCTGATGGGGATTACGTTTTAGTCTTAAAGTTTAGTGAGGTGTACTTTAACGCGCCCGATATGAAAGTATTTGATGTGGTGTTAAATGGAGACCATACAATCGTGGCTGACTTAGACATATTTGACAAAGTGGGACGTGGTGTGGCACATGATGAATACATACCATATACTATTCGAAATGGAAAACTATATTATAATGAAGAAGAATCAGATATAAGAGGAGGTAAAATAAAAGTAGAATTTATTAAGGGTTACCGGGATAACCCGAAAATCAATGCACTTTATGTTATGAGAGGAAGGTTAGATGAAGTCCCAAAACTTCCTCCGTTAGAGTGGCCAGAAAATGATGCTGAAGAGATAAAAGAAGAAATTGAAGAGACAAGTACAAAGTCTCGGAGAGCCAGTGGCCCTAAACAACCTGACCCATATGCAATGGAAACATCTGTTTTAATACCAGTGTTCATAACCATGGCTGCTTTTATTCCCTTGTTGTTTTGTCTATGTAAATTATAATTGTTTGTCAAAGTGTTATGACATATTGTGTTGTTCTTTAGCTCAATCAGCCCTCATCTGCACTCCCATTGCTGGTGCCTATGTTAAAAGTACTTAACAATTTTGGTTTTTCATATTAATTATTACTCACATTTCTACTACTCAATATAAAAATTATTGAAAAATAATAATCATGAAATATTTTAAGGTTGTTAAAAGTATCTTAGAACATCATAGTCTACAGATTCTTAAAAAATACTACAAAATTTATTAGTTTATAAGTTCAGTTTATAAAGTCAATTCATCAGACTGAATTAGAGTATTTTATTAATAAACATAAATTTATACCAAATGACATTGCAACATCTTTAATCAGAACTATATTTTTCCCTAACATGATAGTCACCAGCAATACCTATACTGTTTTGTATGTGTTCAATCATTATTAGCTAATTAAAAATGTTTGCAAAATATTTTAGCTACAAAGTATTGTAATATCACACCGAATAGTACAAAATAACTTCAATGTGAATGTTTACTAGTGACCGTCCCACACCAAATACTAATTCCAAACATTTATTGATGCACAAAATTGTAATTGCACACAAATATGATATTAAAGAGCCACACGCTGATATTTTGTACTTATTACCTCACTTATGCACAAAAGGAAAAATGAATAAAAATTACAAATTAATTAGCAGTCTTGGACATTTTTAATATTTATTTCAATCTTCTGATCTTAAAACTTTTACAGTATGGATTTTGTTCCCTATGGCATCTTCTGCTAATCATCTTCTGTCTTACTTTTATTTTCTCTTCTTAACTTTAGCTTTTGTGAAAGTTTTACAAGCTTAAGCAACCTGCAAATAAAATTTTACTGTAACAAAATTACATATTACATTGGTTTGCAGTGAAATGAACAACATTCCATGATTCAGAATAGTCAGTATTGGCTTGTATGTTTAAAACAAAAATGGTGAGCTACAAAAAAGTATCCTTAAAAGGATCTGAATCACAGTCATAAAGATTGTTATGAAGATGCAGCCTTTACTCAACCGTGTGTAATATGTAATAGAAATATTTCAAAATATTTAAGTCCATTATCATAACTTACGCATTTCCTGTTCCTTGTAATTTAAGTTCACATTCCCCTTTTTGATTTAAAACGAATCCTTTTTTACATCCAGTAATTGTAGGTTCGGATGTTGTAGTCACGTTCTTTTTATTCGTTGTCGCACTTTCAGTTACATTGCTAATCTCAACTGTACTTTTTATAGTTGTTACATCCGCAAGTGTTGTTTTGAATGTCTCCGAGATGTTGGAAGGCGAAATCGTGCGCTCTACGAGCACCGTTGTGGCTATTGTAGTTTTATCTCGTATTGAATCTGTTGTCGCACTTGTACCGTTGGTTGTCGTCGGTTTCGGCGTCGTTCGATTTTGTGGTTTTATTGTCATCTCTGAATAATCATAGGCGTAGTCGTAGTCCTGTAATAATAAAATGGTATTGCTTTATATGGATAGTTCTTTACGACATAGAAATCTCGAAGATAGGAATCTCGAGCTACGGAGTTTTTATTCAATGTATACCGTTAGAACTAATCTACTGATTTTATTAGTTTGTATAATATCGTTTTCAAAGCTGTATAATTTAAACGGTATGAACATTATCTTGAGACTTGATGCAGAATTTAAAATTTCAAGTTCTAAAACAACTTTTTTCGCTCGCGTACTAAGAACCAAAGAAATGAAAACTTGTATGCGTGAATTTGGCGGCTGAGGTTCAACCGGTACACATTTTTTTTACTTTACATCTCTACCGGTAAATAAATGAAAATAAATAGCACGTCTAGGAATATCAATGGCGAATGAGAGCTATTTTTTTGTCTCATCACTTCATGAACCTCGGCTCTAGCATGCTGATCGTATGGCATGATGTCAACAAAATCTACGGCACCCCGCATACGAGTGCTACCAACTAGTCAAAACGATTACATCTTACGTGAATAATGAATATGCAACTTCAAAGCTATTGTCGGATCATTTACGGCACACTCGGAACAATGCTATGAACAGTCCCCGGATACCATGAGACCAACCCTGAGTGCGCCGGGTAAAACATGTCCTTAAGTATTAAAGACACAGTTTTATACAAAAGTGATCATAAACTCTTGAATAGTGTTTATATTTTATTATCAACATTTGTTTTATAATTTATAATAACGAGACACGAAGATTTGCATTCTAAAAATTACATCTTGAGATTTGAGGATATTAAAATATAACTTTTAAATAAATTATAAAACTGCAGGTAAATTATTGCATGAACTCACCACATACTCCTCTTTGCCACCTTTCATAAGAGCAATAATTTGCACATCCTTAACATCAACTTGAACATTAAATTCACCCGTTTGCCGCTGATCGTATGAAATAGTTTTAACATGACAAGCCGTTAAAAGGTAGTAAATGAAAAAAGTATATTTAGCACTCATTTTTGTGTAAAAATGTTAGTGGACACGGATTAGCGGGATTGTATAACGGGTTGATGTTCGTTGTAATCGAGTCTGACGAACGAAGCTGACTGGCCGCGGCGGACGGGCGGACACCCTGCGCGATTCAAGATACCAAGTTATTTCCAACAACTTAACAGTTATTTCAAGTAACTGTGGGAAGGTCGATAGCCTCCGTTAGTACATTGCGTTCCCGAGTTGCGTAAGGATCTTCAACAGTTTTTTACTTTACACAAATAGACCTCTTTACTTTTCTGATAGTACTCAATTTTTAAATTAAATAAACAAAGTTTCCTAAAACACTACATTTTATATAGAATTGAGATACCATTAGTTTGAGATTGGTGCATGGCCTCAACAAGCTAAGACTCCAAAAGAAATTTACTTTATCCTAAACTATATGCGCATTGTACTCTACGATATGGCATAGCTCCTTTGTTATGCCACTTTATTCTATAGTTGTAATATATACAAAAATAATTGAAAGAATAGCCAAACCATGATGACTTAAAACAAATATGTACTTTCGAATTTCTGTTACAACTGTTTTTGCTCTGTAAACATTCGTTTGTATTAATTTGCATGTCAACAAAGTTATAAGTAGCATAAAACTGTAACGAACAACAGTTGTATAACATTAAATGATAGAATAGGTACCTCGAAACATGATACATATTTCCTAAATAGCAAAACTACGAAAGAAATACGAAATACTCTACTATGCTCTTCTTATTATAAACACGTGTCACATTGTTTTGCATCTCTCTCAGAAATATGACAAAACGTCATGCGAAATATGTTTATAGATAATAAGCACATTTTTTCCTTTATCACTCTAGAAAATCATATGATAGTTTGAATAGAGATGCACCAATACCATGTTCATGCTGATAGCCATTTTTTTAAATTAAATATGAAGTTCCCGCTCATTCCTTCACTTTACAGAGTGGCTGAATCAAACTCTTCTTCTCTTATGAGGACTTGAGCTTAACGACGATAAGTGGGCATAACATGAACGTGGCGAGTGACCCTGTTTCCATGCGAATGAAATGTTACATCTCTGGTCGGGTTACAGGCGTTAGTTGTGTTGAATGAAATGTTGTTGCAATTACGATAGAAGGCGAGAATAAATATCGTAAAATTAATCAAGGAATTAATAAACAAGGTCGATAAGGGATTCAGGCGCCATTTTTTTTGGACCTTATTAGATTAAATGGTTTTCTTCTTCTAGTGCCTTTTCGTCACCCGCTTAAAATTAAATAATAACATTTAAATGTTTACAACCAACCATAGTGAAATATATTTTATTAACTTAGGTGATAAGTTTTAAGATTGTTTTGTAAAAGAACCAAAATAATTAGAAACTAAAAACGGAATTTATCTGTCACCTGTCACTGTCTAAAATTGAATAATAGAAGTAGCTGGTTATTCTGGATTTCATATTTACAAAATAAAACCGTATCCATTTTGTTATTGTTTACGTTTATCGAAGCTGTTGCGAAAACTAACATGTCTCATTTCATTTGTTACTTATAGCTCTCGAATAATCGTAGGGACTTGTAAGATTGAAAATGATTAAGTTCTGGAAAAGCGCAGGTAATGTAAATAACATTGTTATTTTAATTAAAGTTTGACGTGAACACTAATTACAATCATTATATGTATTTTCAGCCAAAGGTAAAACTGGATGTCCTGTGCGACCTCCAGAGCTAAATGATTCAAATAATGTGCAACTCAAAACTCCTATAAATTTAGAAATAGGAGTTAATGTAGAAGGTAACATTTACAGAACTATTTGTTACATATTTTCTTTCACTATTACTAAATTGTGATATCGTCCAATTACAGATTTAGAAAATGTATTCGAGAAAAAATCGAAATTATCTTTGAATATACATGACATACTGATTGAAAAAAAATCTATTAAACATTTTATTTCATTTATGGAAGCAATTGGAAAACTAGAATTGATTAAATGTTGGTTAGAGTTAGATACATTTGAAAACAATATCCATAAAGGACTCAGTGAAACACAAAATGAAAATAGTATTGAGAAAATGAATAATTGTCAATGTGAGTGCAACAAATTCACAAAGAATTATAAGGAAATAATGTCACAACCAGTTAGTTTATCGAGAAGTACTAGTAGTTTAAGCCAATATAAATCTGAAATAAGTAAGAATTCACCTAGTTATTGTTATGAATCTGAAGATACTTTGGAAACATGTATAACATGTGGAAAATTTATTAATGTGACGGAAGAAGCTGTTAAATTATTTAAAAAATATATAGCACTTGAAGCCCCACATAAATTAGATCTTCCTGATAATGTTAGGAAATGTGTAATATCTAACATTTGTCAACCTGGAGGAATGATTAAGAAAGACTGTTTTAAGCCAGTACAGGACACTTTGTTCTTAATAATACAAAATACATATATTGATGACTTTTTAATCAGTCCTTATTATATTAAGGCGCAAATAGATATATTGACTACTGGTTCGATTAACCTTCAAGATATATTGTATAATGAGACAATATTATTTTACTTTACTGAATATCTAGAACAAGAATCATGCTCCATATTTTTAGAGTTCATAATGGCAGTTATGCATTTCAGAGAAAACTTAATTAATAATAATTCTTCCAATTCTGAGCAGGCACAAGGAGATGCAATAGTGCTTTATGACAAATATTTTTCGCTTCAAGCAACAAATCCCATTGGCTTCGCAACAGAAACAAGATTACAAGTTGAAAGCGATATATGCAGAGAAGGTGGCCCGCTACCTACATGCTTTGATTTACCTTACAAAATCATATTTAAAACATTAACAAATTACGCAAAGCTGTTTCTTGGGTCAGAGTTATATTATAATTACCTTTCAGAAATGATCAATTCAATTGATAATTTATGGAATTCCAAATTTAAATGTCATTCAGACTGTAGCAGTGAATTTAGCATAAGTACTCAAAATACTCTTCTTGCAATGGGTGACCCTTTCCACAGAAAAAAACGTAATCACTCTGTACCTGATATGACCATAGATTCAAATCAATTGTATAATGCTGATTCATTGTGGCAAAGGAAGAAGCATGATGGATTAATTCTTGGAAGAATTAATAGTCTCGGTAGATTTGAATCTAAATTTGAACCAGATCCTGATAAAAAACAGAAATCCGTTTTAAAAAAAATGGTAAGTCGTTTTGTACCAACAAATTCAGGAGTGGAAGAAGAAATGGCTTGGCAAGTTGCACATATGATAGTTAAGGATATAACTGATTTAACAATGGCACCACCTGAAAATGACCATGATGTATAATGTGATATAGACTCAATTAAATATGTCTTTGTAAATTGTATATAAAATTATGTATTAAATACTCAATTATTTAGTGATTTTCTCGAATGTACTGGTTTATAATAAAAGTGAATTTATTGATAAAACAATGTGACACTATCATTAATAAGTTCCATATAATTTTACAAGTGACCAACATGTTTTCTAGAATTGTAGCTAGAATATATAATGTAGAATTACCATAAAAGTTGCTGTAAGTGATTTAAATATACAGAAGTCAGAAGTTTCCTTGTTTGATCACATCAAAATTTAGTGTTTACCCATAAAGTTACTTTTAATAATTTAAATTTTAATTGATAAATTATATTATGTACCAATTAAAAAATAACCCAATCAAAAAATATAGACATTATACAATGAGCAATACTGGTATAAAATAAAACAAATTTTATTTATTACATTATTTTTACTATGTCAAATATTTTACTTATGTTATTTTTTAAAACAATATTACATAAAAAGTGATAAAACCATACAATATATGTTTAACAAAAACAACATGATATACTGCTACAAACTTAATTGGTAAAAGACAATAACAGTGCCATTGTATCTACAATGGCACTGTTATTGTCTTTTATTCTCTCAGAAAATATGAAGATTTGGAAAATGAAACTGGAGACATGACAAAATAAATTCTTAGTTTAACTTTTACTGATCAGTCTAAATAAGTTTATTGCACTATACCAATCTAAACATGTATAGAATACAAAAAATGGTGTATAAATAAAATTATTTGGTTTAAGCACTGGTAACATGCATCACTGTGAAGGAACTTATAGCCATAACTTAACTGGTAATAAAATTGAGATTTATATTTTATATTGAATGCTGAGGTGTTGAATGTTTAGTAAAATTAATCTTAATATACTTATGATAAGTAAGCACACAAATATTGTATATTAAATTATGTATCATAATATTATATTTAAAATGGTAGAATGCAAATATAAAATACATTATTCACACAATCAGAAACACATTAGCATATCATAAATATTTGACTAACCACACATCTACATTCGCATAATATTATTATTTGCTAAAAATCGTTAAGTGGTACATATTGCACCACAATTATTAAAATTGTAAATATATCAAAAAAGCAGTCTTAAGAAACAGTACCCTTAATATATCCTAATTTGTGAGACTTCAATGTCGTAATAACTTGTAGTTACATTGTAGCATAATTATTAATACCGGGAGGCAAAGGCGACAATTGCATACGAGGAGGTTCTGAACCCAAAAGTGGTGACAGTTCATCAGGCAAATTTAATTCTTTATGTATAGATGAAAATGTAGGTCTATACTTTTTACCATTTGTATTCCACCTTCTGTAAACTAAAGCATTAAGCAATGCTTGCATTGGATTCATCAAAGCCTGTAGAATAATAATATTTTTATAAATACCTTAACATTTAAATACAAGAGTTCATCAATAAATTTACTTACCATTATATACCACACAGAGATAATAATTTTCACAGGCATATTGAACCACATTGTCCATATCATTACGCCATTCACAAGATTTGGTAACCAGCACACATAAAATACCACATTGATAAGGAAAAACTTCAATTTTAGTGTGTCAACAACCCTTCGCTCTTTGCTAGTAAACTGAAATAAAAATTTATATGCATTGCACTATTATGATAATATTGATGATATTATTGAAATTCTATTTCAGAGAATTTTTAGGTAGTAATTGACAATTAATAGTGTGTTTTATATGAGCATGTTTGATTATTTTATGACTATATAATAAATACCTGGGCAAGTGGTAAGGCTACAGTCATCTCCACTTCTTTGCCAGCCAATATGTATAGCACAGGGTTAACAATCATGACCATTGCTATTGGAACATAAGTTGCACAGTAATTTGGTAGAATTCTTAAGAAAGCACTTGTTACTGTTTTTAAATTATGACATCTGTAATGGTCAAATAATTTGTATTTAATCATTTTGATATTAAAAAATTTAAAACATTAATATAATTTCAAAAGTACTTTTAATATAGGTATACAAACGAAAAACAAAGTAGCCAGCATTTTTGCATCTCTAACCATTGGTTTCTGAGACTAAAATCTCTGTTAAAAATATATGGTTATCACTTTTTTTGTCAAACATGCAGTAATGCAATAATGCTAGAATATAATTTGTGGAATAACTCAGTATTTTGACATGCATGTATAAGGCTGTCGCACATAAATATTTTTTAAGATGATAATAATACTTACGTTGCATTAGGAATGTACAGTATAGATAAACCAATACCAGTAGTCGCGGCAGGAACACCCCAAGCAATGGAATGATAAAGTGTTGGGTGAGAATCACGACCTTTGATTGTTCTCAAAGTGTCTATAGCATAAAATAGAGTCCAAAACCAAGTAGCTGTATAAAAGTATTGAGTCCATGCCTATGAAACAAAATGACCATTGAAATATTTACATATTGTAGATATTAGATAGATAATTAAAACTTACAGAAGTTATGCTGCAGAATAACACACTTATTTCATCATCTGGTAAAGGTATAATACTTTTATATCTTAACCAAAGTGATGAGCGCACAAGAACTCCTGAAATCAAAAATAAATTGTATCATCTATTTATACCTTAACATAATGTGCACTTAAAAAATCCAATAAAAATGGTTTTGTCACAAAGGCGTACACAAATCATTTAAATAGATAAAGCCAGATTTTTTTCATGATTACCTAACTCTATAGAGTAAAAACCAAGTATGTATTGTACCACATACAGTATGTACTAATTTACGTTAAATATAGAATTGAAGAATTTCCTATTAAGAACCACATGAAAATATATTGTTTTCTAATAACCCAAGGATTTGTGTGATTTGATTCTAAAATGTTTAAACTATTGCAGAAATTAATGAAAAACATTACCTAAAGATGCCATTAAATCTGCAACAGCTAGCCAAATTATGATATTTCTTGCTCGGGAATTTGTCTTATTTCCAAACCCATCTGAATGACTTGATATTTTACATGGAAAAATCTGAAACAAATATTTATAAATTCATTATTTATGCCTTATATTTAAAGCATATAGAGTAACTACTGAAATTACCTGATAAATCGAACCTATTATACCTATAGTTGAAGAAACTAAGCACACAATATTATAAGATTCGGTGTTAAATTCGTCCATAATTCTAATTGCCAAGTCTTCTTTACTACCAGTATGATGACAGCAGAAAGTTTGAATAGTAGGATCAGACATTGCTATTTCGTATTTACGAAATATGTTTGTAAACTATACGGTGTGCTACAGTGAACTGGGTATCTTTGATACAATTGACCTTAATATTAAAAACTGGTTTACAAAAATAATCAATTTTATTAGTACAGTGTAAATTAGGATTAAGAAACTGTCATTATTACATAAACAAAATATAATACGTGCACTTTTGGTTTTACTAAATTATATATTTTTTACATTACTTTAATATGAAACACCTATGTCAACAAGTACAATTTAATAAAATCACTAAAACTACATGTAAATATTTTGAATTATTTTAAAAGACATCAAAGACATAGACAAATAAAACAATAGACATACACATAGATTAGACAAAGACCAAAATGATAACAAAATTCATTGCCAAATAATCGTTGTAAAACCTAAAACATTTTTCTCGCGTTATCTATTTATGTATCCTTGTTATATATTTTTGATTCCTGTCTACCTCACAATTTACACAAAATTACAAGTAATGCACAAAACAGTGTATTAGCCACCATCTAACATTAAAGTTGCCTTTAAAGAGCCTCAGTTAACACTTACAGAAGTAAACTCTATTTTTAAATTTCACAAATTTATAAATACATGTAATTTGTAAAATTTCAATAAATTTCTGTATTTGATATTCCGTATATGTACGAAAGGTAAAAAACAAAACAAGTATTCATTTAATGTTATGATATATTATTTAATACATCCTTTAAAATAAAACCAAATACATATCATAATTTTTTTTTAATTTTCACTACGCACAAAAGACAATTAAAACCGAAATGTACAATAAATTTTGTAGTTGGTAAGCAAGACAAGATGTGTAACAAAATCTTAACGCAATTAATGACTTATTTCTTTTGATTTCTCAGTTGTAGAAAGCGGAATTACAGTTAAATTGCTTATCGCAGTTAAGCAAGGATTAATAGGATCCCTGATTTCTCCAAATTCCGGAGTACAATTCAAGGTAGCATTATATTCAACAGTTTCGTTAAGTGTAAGAGCTTCCGATTGGTTTGTAAGAGTATTTTCTCCGGGTTTCAATGTTCCAGCATCAACCTCCGTAATATTGAGTTGTAATGGTGGTTCAGTGACGTTATTACTTGCGGCTGAATTTAATAATATAGAGCAGGGTATAGTAGTCATGAATTCTCTGCCAGTTTTGGTTACCACAGTGACAGTACATTTTGTGTTATCACTGGTATTATTGTTTATATCAGCCTCTTTTACATCAGCGTTTGGTGTGAATGAAGTAGCTATCGCACAAGGAATGGCTAGAACTTCTGTGACGTTATCGTTACTAATCGTAAGTGTACAGTTTACTAAATCACCCATTATGGGATCTACTACAGGCTCCGTACTGTTACCAGGAGCTACAGCTACTGGTTGACCTCTGTTGTCGTAAATTACAGTATGATGGCGGTGACCAGTTGATCTAGCTAGATTCCATAACGCTAAACCAGTTAGTATAGTACCGACACCAGCTCCTGCTATTCCAACGCCCGTGAGTGCAGAGCTAGTTCTACTCATGCCACCGAAACCTTTTCCATTGCCTACATAGTTACCAAAGTAACCAGGCATTTGTTGACCATATCCCGGATTATATCCATGACCACCTAATCCGCCATAACTTTGTGGGAAATTAGAATAAGGAGGTGGGGGCCCTTGTGGATGTTGATATCCGTTGCCATAATTATTTGCTTGATTGCCGGCATTATATGGTCGATTAATATTTCCTGGACTGTAAGGAGGTGGTGCCACATTAGATCCAGAATAGCCGGTCCCATGCTGAGGATATCCAATTCCGGAAGCACCGCCTACACTTTGTTGCTGAGGGTAGCTTGCTCCCGAACCAGCACCAGATAATCCACCGGGTTTTGAGTTACCTGATAATCCATTCGAAGTGGGATACGAGTGACCATTTTGGTTCGTTCCTTGTGATTGCGTTGGTCCTCTATGTGGTGTTTGTAAAACTGGAGCGGGAGCGTTACTTCTTTGAATACTTTCTTGGTAAGGGGGTGGTTGTTTAGGTGCATTATTTCCCGAAAGGCCCGTGTGACTTGACGGATAAGAGTGGCTTTGTTTATTAGTCGGCTTCTGAGCTGTATGTGACGGTTTTTCTTGCCAGCCGAATAGAGAAGGCTTAGCGACTGCAGGTTGAGGGTAACTTAGTGAAGTCGGTGAGGGATGTGCGTTCGACCTCGATCTGCTCGAAGTGCTTTTCGATGAACTTCGACCTCTAGAAGACATTTTTCTGGCTTCGATATTAATCGTTGCATATATTAACAACATTATAATAATAGTCTTTTTCATTTTCGTAAATTTCTTTGAGCACACACACAATATGAAATATAAAGCTGAGTATAAGAATCACAAACAAATGAATGCTGCTACCGCAGCGAGCGTTAAACACAATATGATTCTAGAACGTTCAATTGTTAGAATAGTGTTTAATGATCGCCCACCCTGGTATTACAAACGATGTAATAGGGGGGCACGTAGCACGTAGTACGTAGCGAGCGAGGCAAGCTGTGAGTGAGACGGACACAAACAAACACTACTGTTGAATCAATAAAACTCCCTACCACGGTGTTGAATAATCCGCATGCGGTGTTAAAAAGCGCAAATGTAACTAAACGAAAATGTATATTAAAGCCTATGCGTCTAACTCATTACCTCACATAGCACTTGTTTCTGCATTTTGTAATGCATTTGAAAACATAGCAAATTAAGATTTATATTATTGGCCTAAACTATAACAATTTAATTTTTTTTCTGTTAGAATTACTTTCTAGAATCGGAAAATAAATTCAAGGTACAAGAAGGCGTAGGTAAGGGGAATTAAGTAA